ATCCCTGCAGGATGATAACTCCTAAACTGAAGAATCGAAAAAATAAGGAGGCATGCATGTAGACACTACCTCGCCACTGTTCCAGCAGGCTGATTAATGAAACCATGTCGACAAGACAAGATATATAGCCTTATTTAAACCATGCAATATATCGCATTTCGATGTCTTATCGGGCTGCTTTAGACGTTCAATAATCGGCTCGCAGTCGGTGACGAATTACAGTTTCAGTGAAAATGAACGTTCTTACAAAACTTTTGGCGATTTTGTATTAACGTGAACTGAACCTTAAGTTAAGAGTACAGCGAGAGAATGCAAGAACTTGCAGCCGGCTACCTGATTTTTGCAGTTTTAGAGTCATTACATCATTAAATTTACTGAAGAATGATGACTCTTGTATCAAACGAGAGACAATAATTAAATTTCTCAGTTTTGAACTATTTAAGATGAAAATTCAGGAGTTGGATGGAAAACGGCGATCTTTTTTCAATCAACAAAGCTCCTCTGAATTACACACCAAATAAAATAATTAATTGTACTTGCTTTTATTTTTGCTTTACGTTGCCTCAAACTGAAGAGAAAGTTTATAATTTTTTTATAATTTGAGCTTCCATGATAACCCATGATCAACATTGTGCGGCTGTCTCTCTTCTCCTCTTAAATTGTACGATATTTTTTGCATCAACTTCGAATTTCCCAATGACGTTGAACACCAAAGTCTGAGAACCACCAGGATGGTTGAATTTGGATTCATATTAAACTTTAATTGTATGAGAATTATGGTTGTCTTTTGAATTACCCAATTCAACCTAAATTGTGCGGTATCACATATCACAGAAATGCAGTTAAGATAAAAAAGAGGGAAGATAGAGGATTTTGATAAATACAGAGCAATGGGTTTACTATTTCTTTTTTAGACGAGTATGAGTATTTATGCAACAGCACCAATCATTTTAATCGCAGGTGAAAGAAAGATTCTTCCTCCTTGGCTAAATCATGGATTAATAAGATCTTAAATGATTAAAAGTAAACAAAAATCCAAATTATAAAATTGCGTAGGTTTCAATAACGATAAAATTGTGAAAAAAGAAAACAAATAGAACTAACTCGAAAGAATACAAGTAAAAAAACAAACAACAAACAGCTTGAACAACCTGTTCGAAAAAATACTGCAAAATTTAAATAAATTAGGTAATTAATAAACAGCTTTACTAAATAAAAAATAACAATCATTATGTAAAAAAAAGAAAATTTTCTAATCACAAGAGAGCCTATCTTAAAACATACACAATGTACATTCATTAAATGCAATAACATTTTAAACGTAATGAGATGGGTAATTTATACTTCCTCCGTTTGAAAAAAGTTATATGCTGAAGACCTGCGTGATAAATTTTGAGTTTTTTTCTTTTCGGAGCAAAAAATTGCAGAAGAGCTAAAATTTTAGGTTTCGGAAAAAGAAAGGAGCTTCTTGTTGATCATGAAAAATGACCGTGAAATTATTGTAAATTATTTGTATCAACAAATCTCCGTGGAAAGAGAAAATCTCATGCAGTTCTATTGAACAATGCTCATTGATGAATAATCCATGATTTTCACTGGTATATTATTCATATGTTTCCAAAATTAAATATACACAGCTCTGTTTTCAAACAATCAATCGAGTAAATAAGGAACTTTTAGTTTTCAGCACCTACAATATTGCTTCAATCTTGAGTTTCTTGTGTTAACAGCATAAACTTAATCCCTCAGATGTTTTCTAAAATACATCATAGCATTTGGCACAGTATAATTAGACCTAAGAAATCTGCAACTTCAAGCGAGTGGAGCACAGAATAAAATGGTTTTATAAATGAAAATTAAGAGACAAAGAGAAAACAACTTTGAATGTGCATTTTTGATGAAATATCCGTAACGCCGTTGGCTTCTCTTTGAAATAATCACAATGATACCTCTTTAGCTATATGCTATAGTTTTTTCATCTTTTAAGCACTAAAAGATATCGATACCAAACAAGGTAGCGATAATTTTTTAAATATCATTGATATTACTGCAATTTTCTATCCAAACAATGACACAACTTCTCGTCAAAATTATATGAGTACCTCCTTGGTTTTTGCCACTCGGTTTTTTATACGATAGCCTCTTAAAAAATCGCCCGAAAATAATACTGCCATGCCAAAGTAAAGCGGCACTACAGTTTCATTCTAAATGTATGCTTTTCCTCAGATGAGAACTTTACTGTAATTTTAATAACGTTAGGAGTAACTGTAAGCTGTGTTTATAATGAAATAGAAAAAATGGAAAAATATGTTACGGAAGATAACCAAGGGAAACCCCCAATAACTTCAAGATGAATTGATTGCGTATTACATAACACGCAACAGAATAGTAAAGAATCCATTTCATCCTATAGTCTTACAAACATTTGAAATACCATTTTGGTGACATGTTTTTTTTTTTTTTTTTTTGCTAATATCGTTGTACAGCCAATCCCGCATGCTAAAAAAGCTGCAATAACATTTTAACTCGGATGTAGATTTCGGAGCTTTGCATTTTTTTATGCATGCAATCTAGAGCAATATGGCTACAAACCTACATGTATCTCTCTTATTAATCTCTCTTCATTATATCGCAAGTATAAATAATCAAGTTTAAAAAGCCAGCTCTATTCGATGATAAGACATTAAGTAATAAGAAATGTACAGTTTACTTCAAGCATAATTTGAAATGGGTGTAGAAATGGGTCTATGGTCATCTTCAGTTTCAAGGGAATAATGTAAACGTGTATAAACCATGTATTTTTTACGGTTGAATAGTGCCAGAATTTGTCAAGAATATTTCGCTAAAGCACATGAATTTTCAAAAAGGTCACACAATGTTTATCAGCGTGGATTTTCTAAAAAGTTCTGATGTTAAGAATAAAACATTGAGGAACAAAATCGCCTCGTAAAGGTGACAAACACACAACAGAAAACTGATCGCTAGGGTTATTTGGAAGAAAATAAAACTTTTAAAATTAATCACACATAAACACCCATTTCATTAGTTCAATTGACTATCCAAAATCAAATCAAAGGATAAAACATCCGATTGGCTAATGATCTTCAAAGCCGGGGGGATAAGGTTTGAAAATTTGTAAACTCCTCGATAGATTTAAATTCCAAATGAGATCAGAGTGAACTCTAAAGTCAATAAAATCTTGAATTTTGAAAATTAGAAAAAATTAGATGAATTTGAGTCACGGAAACCGAAATAAATTGATTGATATTTTCCACAAAATCCTGGGAAAAATTCGTCGAATTCTCTCGTGATATCTGAAATCTGAAAGTTCTATAGTTCATTGTTTGACAGGAATCATTCTCAGCTCCCTATCTCACTCTCTCATTCGGTCAGCTATCGCGGTCAAATATTAATTTTAGTAGTTGAAAAAGTGAGGTTTGTGTCATCATTTCCGCGTTTTTATTTGATGGCACTATGCCTTGTTCACGAAAAGACGAGATATTCTAGCAAAAATTCAATATATTTTTGGCCATCGTTACCCAATCATTATTTATTCCGTTCTTGAGCACATGTAACAGGAGGATAGAAATTCTGCCTTAACTCTGACTTATTGGGAAACAGAGAAAAGCTCATAGTGAATTGAAAGTGGTCACATGAAAAAATACTCAAAGAGTTACACTTTAAAACGTAAATTGAATGCAATATGAATACACGGATTGCTGTTCAGTAATGAATGGCCAATTGCATTATTTTTCTAACTTAAAATTAGGACGATAATTTCCCGAATAATATGTTAACCAGAAGAAATTGTGAATTTTTCTTAATTGGCACTTATTGATTGGAACTGGATCTTCATCCATTTTAATGTACTTTTTCCGGCAGTTGCGACAAATTTAGAGTATCTAAGTAGTTAAACTACCAAAAATTCATTGACTAGTACATACCTTAAGAATATAATTTTATTACTTATGGTGATCGTTTGCACACACCGATGCAAAATAAAATAAAGACCGTTCAAGAACTCCTATTTTCCGGGAAAAATTTCAATTTTAGAATGTTTTCTCGCTAATCAGTCCAACATAAAATGGGACCTTGGTGCAAGGACATAGAGAAAATATAATGGACTCATTTGGTCGTGATATGATGCATTAGCTGTCTCCTACAGATAAGATACATTCGGTTCCAGACAAAAATCTTTCTCTTGCTTTGACTCGACTCCTTTGTATTGTCACTTCACTCCAATTCCAACAGTTCTAAAATAGGCATTTTTTCACCTATGAACTTCTCGTGCTGTTTTACGTACGTTCAAATCAAAATATGCAGGAAAAAACATACCGATCTTGATATTGAACTTTAGAGAGAGATAGCTGCACAAGGAGGTCAAGCGTGAGAGCATGAGAGACAGATAACCGTCAAAAGGCGAATTTTCGCGGGTGGATTTGGTCGACTTTTTCAACCAGATTGGCAGGGTTGCAAACCAATTTAGAAGAAAGCTCTGCTGAGTACAAGAACTAAACTCAAGAATGAATTTTGGACAACGCTGGCATCCATTCACTTTTGGACCCACCTCCCGAGTAGAGGTGGATCGAGAATTTTGGATGTGGCCGTCAGTGTAGCCAGCGTGAAAACCAAATGCTGTAGGTGCGCCATCGCCCGGAAGGAATTTCGTTTTCTCGTACCAGAGGTTGGCAGTACGTTAAAAACTTGAACAGAATCCACTCGCGAAAATTTGCCTGTAAGGAACTCAATGTCACTCCGATGTCAATCTGATTGTCATCGATGGAGGCATCAACAGCATTCGTTGCGTTCATGACGCACGACTCCACGAGTCCATTTAAATTTAAGGTTTGGATAATCAGTTGAGTTAATCAAAACTTTCGACGAAAAAAAAAAGAAAGAGAAAAAGAAAACAACAACTATTCTAAGATGACTTAGAGAGGGCTGAGTTAGCATTTCCAATCGTGATTAGACGGAGGAGCATGCGAGAAGCTGTAAAGTACCTGCCCGGGCTGACTGTGCAGGTGCGAGAAGTGGTACTCCCGTGAAGTCACGGTGAAGGGACTGCTGACCACCGCTCGTCCGGAGTCCGGCCCGCCCTGGGCCCCGGCCACCGGCGGGCTGTTCCGACTGATCTCCCCCGGCGAGGATTCGTTCACGGGGGGTGTGATCGAGGTCGGCGGGGGAGGGGAGTTTGCCATGGAAACTGTCAACTCGCCTGAAAATAAAGCACATCGAAATCAGTTTTCATGATACGATTTTAAACGGATAAAAACTTCACGAAATTTTAAGTCCCAAGTTTAATTCCGACGTTTCAGACGATGTGAATTCAATACACATCGAGTAGACCTCGGTAGCTACGTCTACAGCACTTTAACTTTCATGACAAAACAAATCACTTCTAACCAAATTTCCTCAGAACTTCCTTGAAGGACCTCAGTACCTCCCTCGCGAAAATCTCAATATTTCCTCAGAAAATTCACTTGAGGAAGATTGGAGGTGACCTGAAACGAGGTTTCGAGTCGAGGAAATCTCGAGTCGCGTCTTAAAATACCGCCAATTCTCGAGAACACTCCAAATGCGATCTCAAGGAAATCTCGAGTCAATGAAAGGTCGAGTAACGTCTTAAAATTCCGGCCTAAATCAGACTTCGTAATTTTCTGTTAACCGCGCCAAAAGATTGAGTAAGAGCCCACGCCAAATAAGTTCACACACTCAAAGACAGGGATAGAGGATTCACCATCTTGATTCTTACATTTATTTTCCATTTAAAAATGACTTCAGACGATCTTCTATGTATGTGCGTTGCTTCAGTCCCATTTTCATTGACTGTTAGGCTAATGTAAATTTCTACATCACGATCACATCTGAGGGTAATGGAGATGTTGCATGTGTGAGGGATTTGCGATTTGACTATTGATTCTTCTGTATAAGTTCGCGAGAAACACGATGGTGCCACTGGTTTTCTCTGAAATCAACTCTCAAGCTCCAAAAAAGCTCTCAACTTGAGGCCAAAATGGAGGGGATATCCCACGCTATCCCGAGAGTCCACCTCTACATCAAAACAAACTCTCCATGCAAAGATAGGGAGCAAATACATTGACAGTGATGTCGTGTTTTCAGTTTTAGAGTCCCCAAATAAAGTGACAGCCCTGTCAATGTATTTGCCCCCTATCTTTGCATGGAGAGTTTGTTTTGATGTAGAAGTGGACTCTCAGGGTAGGGTGGGATATCCCCTCCATTTTGGCCTTAAGTTGAGAGCTTTTTTGAGCTTGGGAGATGATTTCAGAGAAAACCAGTAGCACCATCGTGTTTCTCGCGAACTTTTACATAAAAATCAACAGTCAAATCGCAATCGATTTTCTATGTATGTGCGTTGCTTTAGCCCCATTTTCATTGGTTGTTAGGCTAATGTAAATTTCTACATCACGATCACATCTGAGGGTAATTGCCTCACTATTACCTTTAGTGTTTACCCCACGGAGCCCCCCATCCCCCTCTTCTCCCATCTCTTTCATGTTTTGCGAAAAAAAGAGAAGAAACATTTGTTTTTTCATCTCTATTTTTACTTCAAAAATTTTAGAATATTCTGAAATTACGAGGATTAAGTTAACAACCCTTGAATTCAGATCTAGTTTGTGGAAATTACAGGTGGCGACCAAACCCTTCAAGTACACAGAATTCATCAGGATATAATGCTGGGGATGCAGATTTTTCCAAGATTAAGTGTTACAACCATTTAATCCATAGGCATAGATATTGAAGGATTAGCAATGAAAGTGAGTATCCCAATGACAGTAGAGTGTGGAAAAATGATAGAGTAAAAATAATGAAGCGACAGAAAAAGAAGGACAAACCATTGAAATTACCCGTTGACCGTATTATCGCAACAGGACGGGCCATTGGAGGTGGAGGTGGGGGAGGCAACATTGAACTAGGGTAGTATTGAGATAATTTGGTTGGACTTCTTGAGGGTCCAGCCTGCAACAGAACAAATCAGAGAAATCAAATAAATGCGTATGAAACAGAGTAAGTGTAAAAATGAATAATATACGTATACAGTGTCCTGTGAGAACGATGTATCGCGACAGGTAGGATTATGAGCACTGGAAAAAAAAACATTGTATCTAGAGTCCAGACTCTTGAAAACATTGACAAGAAAAAATCGACGGTGAAACTACCGAACCACGTATCTCGTTTGTGGTGTTTAAAAATCTACGCTCGCATTTTATTTTTTGAAGTAGACCTAATCAAAATCATTCCTTGAAATTTTCACAGAATTTTCTCCGCACGAAGAGGAAAAATCACAGAAATATTCGAGACTGGACGTTAAGTAGTTTTTCATTTAAAAAATAAAGCATGACAGGAAGTCTGCGACGTCGCAAACCGAGATACGTGGTTTGGTAGTTTCACCGTCGAAATACTCTTGCTTCAATCAGATTTAAGCTTAAATCAAAAGGAAATCCGCTCAAATTAAGAGGCTCGGTTCTTGATTTAAGCTTAAATCTGATTGAATCAAGAGTATTTTTTCTTGTCGATGTTTTTAAGAGTCTGGACTCTAGATCCAATGTGTTTTTTTTTTCCAGTGAGCTCTAAACGCACATACTACAAACCACCAAAAAAATTGCATTGAGTTTTAAATTTATTCATTTATTCACAATTTAATTTTACGAGAACCCTTCCAATCTCATGTAGAAATCAGGATATATTAAAAATGGATATTCACGAATGGGATCTCACTTCAAATTTATGACCTTAGCGATAACGAGCTAATTTTTTAAGACCGATTTATTTTTCGTCGCATACTTAATGTGTAGTATGTACCTATTAACCTTTCCGGGGTATGAGAATCCGCTTCCGTAAAAATTATTAATATGTATTGTATAGAGTTACACTATCAAGAACAGAGTTATGGAAATAATTTCAAATCTATGAGCAGCCTTCTTCTAATGTGTAGATTGCATCACACTATATCACACTATTAATACGTTCTTTAAAATATTTTAGTATAGGAATCGTCAAAATCATTTTTTCTATTCTTTATGAACTGCTGCCAATCAACCGTGCGATCATACTAATTTCAAGGCATCGGATTTCGTGTTCGTTTCTTACCTGAGCACCTTGAGTATTTTCTGCCTCTTGGCAGACGAACGTTACAAAATCGGAAAGGGTGTCATGACCGTTTTCCGGATACTTGGTAGGACTATGTTGAGCGCCAGCCTCAGGACCAGGAGCGGACTGAGTGTAGTAGTTTACAGTTGCCAAAGACGCCACACTCGTATGCTGAGGCGGTAAACCTGAAACAGAATAACCAAAACAATTGAAACCTCTACTTCTTCAATTATTCTTTGTTTCTGATTAGCATGAAAAATACGTATAATTAGCATACACAACGAAATTATCTGCAATTTAGAGCAACCTTCACAGAGAGAAATTTCAACACAAAAGTTTGGTTAATACGGGAAGTAAAACACAAAATAACCCTATCCTTCGATTGACGAGTTCGAGAGAAAAAGCAAGCTATTTTTCATAAAGAAATTTACTGGAAAAAAATGTCAATACCACCGTCGCGTAATCGAAAGAATGCATTTTCCAAGTATATCTTCTTTGTTTTCTGCTGTCCTTTGTTTGAAATTGTGAACCAATTTGTGAATATACAGGGTGTTTCAGACCACCCGTACCAGGCCTTTTTCTCGGTTGGTATAGGTCGTACGAAGTCGGAGACCGCGGGGTTGAATAGGGAATTGACCCCAAGGAATCCGAATTTCGTGGTCCCAAAACCCCCCCACGCCCCCTTGGGGGGTAAAGGGGGGGTCACGATGCTAAAAGTCACGGTTCCCGACCGAATTGCGGATCGATCGCATCAGAATTGAAAAGCACGGAAAATTTCACGTGGAATTGACCCCTAAAAATCCAAAATCGGACCATCCAAGGCCCAAAAATGACCCCCTAAAGAGGGGGTCAGACCCCCCTCCATAATTTCTCTTCGGTCTCAAAATTGACGTNNCTTGGGGTCAATTCCCTATTCAACCCCGCGGTCTCCGACTTCGTACGACCTATACCAACCGAGAAAAAGGCCTGGTACGGGTGGTCTGAAACACCCTGTATATTTATTAATTTTCCAAGCGTATAGTTATAAAAAAATTAATTAGGAAGAGAATGCACAATATCTACACACACATAGCATACAAAAACATCGAAAAAAGAAAGAGAGTGGGAGAGAAATAAACAATTAAGTAAATTGAACAAGCCAAAATAGGTATAAAATGATGACACGCATGAAAATGATGATGCCGAAATCTTCTTAATAAATCAAGGTATCCGATTTTTAAATTTCCAGTTTTCAGAGCATGGGGAAAACTCCTGAAATCAGAGGATTGCGTGCAACATCACAGTAATTGAACGTACTTCTGCCGAACGGTACTATGTGCATTGAGACATGAGCCCTGAGACCCATAAGAATATATGCATAACAGGGCTCACGCCATCATGCATATAGTTCCGTTTGGCAGAAATCGGTCAAATTGTAAAACTACAAAATCACTATTATCGGCAGCCTCGCAGATTTTCTGACATATTTTCGTGCTTGGAAGGATGACTGATTTTCAGTATTGCGCGGAATTCCTTGTGAAATTTCTTTGCTCTCCCTGATTGTTCTGATTTTTATTCAGAAATCCTGTATTATTTCAATAAAAATTTAAGTTTCGAACAGCCGTAATCGAGATACGCAAATCCATAGCTCCACCATCGATCAAAATTTTCGACTACATCTAGAATGAAGTATACATCCATATTGATAAAGTAAAGATGTGAAAAAGATGCCTTAGGCACATAGGAATGAGGCGCTGAGTTCAATTTTGTTTTCATATGGAGTCATGCAGAATTAACATACAGGCCCTATTACATTATATCGGTTGAGCTCGTAATAAGGGAAGCGCTGGGTTGAGAAAGCTAAGGGCATGGCTACTCTGAAAAAAAAATACCCGTGAGGATATAACACAAGTATGGTAATCACCGACAGACTCTGTGGTAACAATGATCGTAAATCAAATCACTTATTCACCAAAATTATGGTAGCAGGTGTTACCAGTGGCGTGGCGTGCTTTGCGATATATTCATTGATCTGCCATTTAACCTACGGAAAAAGATCGATAAACAGGTGTTCGCAACGAACACCTTAATAATCGATTCTTTACCATAGCTACAAATGGAGAAATATCGCTAATCGATCATTTACGCCTCGTCACTAGATGTTGCCACATTTCTGATCATCGTTACTCCACAGCATCAGTGTGTCAGGAATCGAGTTGACCAATGATACGATTACCATACTGATGGTAAATACAATACGCCATACTTTTTTTTCGTGTAGAATACATCATAAGTCGCGAAAGATAACACTGAAGGGGAAAATCTTGCAAATTATGCTTTTTGAAAAGATTACCGAGAAGTAAGGAAGAAGGGACACATGACACATCGAACATCGAGAGAATGAATCTGTTTGGGAAAAAAATACGGAGAAACACACATTTTGTACCGTTATGTTTCAAGTTTCAAAATTTTCTTATAATGTAGAAATACACTTAACAAAGATTTGTATTTGATAGGAAGTTCGTGCAACAAATAAGAGAGGAATGCGTATGGAGAAAATAGCTCTGATCATTCCAATCGGAGGTAACACATTTCTTCTGTTCTGAACATCGAAAAATTTAACATCCATAGAGAAAACCGCGAGATACCTTTTTGACGTTTTTGAGGGAATGTAACAGACATCTAGTTAAGACTGAAACAAAATCACCTGCAGTTATTTGTGAGATAACTAGAGAGAGAACGAAACAGCATAAGTGAAATGCACGAGCAAATGTTAACAAGTTAGTAAAACCGGGTTAAAATTTATACATTTGTATTGAATCATGGCCTTCAATAATCGTCATTCAAACTGCAGTCTAAGTATTTACTTTATTAATAGCAATGATAATTTTAATAAATGTAACAGCTGGCAACGTCTAATTCGGGTCTTTCGTATTGGGAAATTGGCTGCCTTTTTTGACACCCATGCCTCCATGAAGTAATCTATCCATACTTTTTCTATAAAGGGGATCCGGTTTTTGTAAAGATCAAACTAGCTATGTGCCGTAAGCAGTGGCGTGGCGTGCTTTGCGATATATCGATTGTTATGCCATTTAAACCTATGGAAAAGGATCGATAAACAGGGTGTTCGCAGCGAACACCTTAATAATCGATTCTTTACCATAGGTTTCAATGGAATAATAATCGGTACATTGCAATTCACGCCACGCTACTGGCTGTGAGTTTATTGGCCGAATTAAATTAGCCTATGCCGATAGCCGATATTAGTGGGTGGTTTTACGATAACGGGGATAGTTTCGTCGCCGTAACAGACAACACATTTTTCGGTCATATTTTTAGTAGAAATGATAATAACTCGAATTTTTTCGCGTTAATCTTCAAAGGGTTGCGTATTATAACGCTTTCTAATGATTTATTGCTTTACTTCTCAGTTAATATTATGTAAATTCCGAAAATGTGCTGCGTCTGTTACGCGGTAAAAAATCAGCGTTTCGGCCATTTATATATTAAAACTGAAAAGTAGAGCGATACATTTTGGAAAAGCGTTATAACATTTGTAGATTAATGCAAACAAATTCGAGTGATTATCATTACTACTTAAAATACGACCAAAAATTGTGTTGTCTGTAACGGCGACAAAACTACTCCAGTAATCGTGAAACCACGTAAGTAAACTTCGGCCTAAAATTGGTTTATTCCACCAAAAAACGTGAGTGGTTGAAAATGAGAAACTATAGTCTCAAAAATTATTCGAAAGCATTATATAACACGTCCATGATAGCACTTGGAAGTTCCTACTTATAGGAGACGGTATACCGATAAGACCAGCCTAAAAGAGGCCACACGGCTTTCTTACGAACTCTAATGAAGGAGGAAATGTTAACTTGAAGAAAACATAACAAAGAACAATAGAACTGGGCCATGGTTATTTACTTCGGTCGCAATTTCCTTATTTCAAGGAAAATTTTTCTACTTAGGATATTGGGGTTCGGCCAATACAAAGTATAAATAGGACCGAAAAACTAATTTTTGAAACATCACTTTTAACTCTCGTTACAGATTGGTACCAGTTTTTCTGCATGCTCTTTTGTTCGTCTCGGTGTCGCGCGTATTGAGGAAACAAAGTTTGGAGTCAGCATGGTGGTCACCACAGCACTATTCTGGTTGGTGGGAATTGTTATGTTGATAAGTTATCACAGTAGTCCCGTGTATGCATGTTCAGACGGTCAAGGTTGCCCGGACGGGTTTAGTTGCATTCAAAGCGTATGTATACGCGATGCAGATTTAATCTTCTGAAAAATATTGATCATCATCCGTTCCAGAGTGAGGACAAAATCTAACGCAGGCGCAAGCCCCACCGAGTTAGTTTTTGGCAGGTATTTTTATACAGAATTTTATACTTCAATGTTATCCATCTTTCTCACACTCATTGTGTTCCTATGATACCTTAATCAATATGTATTTTGTTTGACACTAAACTTCACAATGTTTTAACCATCAAAAAAAGTATTAATTTCACAATAATTTCCGTTGTTGATGTTGCTTTTAATGATAATTGAATAAATCTCTAAACCTGACTGTAGGTGCAAGCAGAGACCCAGATTAAATAAGGACCAGTGGCGTAGCGTGCTTTGCGATATATCGATTGATACGCCACTCAAACCTATGAAAAAAGATCGATTATCAGGGTGTTCGCAATGAACACCTTCGTAATCGATTCTTTATCATAGCTTCAAATGGCGATAAATCAAAAATCGATCATTCACGCCACGCCACTGATAAGGACTTTGGTCCTGGTCGCTAATTTTAAATTACCATCCCTTCTTTCAAATAAATTTCAAGTATCTTCTTTTGGTGTACAATGTTGATTTCATTGCATTAAACCCATCCAAAAAAATTTATATTTACTTTGTCGATTCACTTAAAATGGTCAAATTTCTTTCAGAGGCAAGGATTCCCTAAGGAACAATGAAAAAAAAAAAATACAATGACATTAATTTAAGAGCTAGGAGAACAAGGCGCATAAATGCAGTTTTTGAAAAAATCGAGATGTTAATGATTTCAAGGGAAACTAGTTTTAATGCATATTCTGTGGGTAATTCGATCCTAAATTCTAATTTTTAAGCATCAAAAAGTCAATTCAAGCTTTCTTTCCGGCATAAGGATCTATGTAATTTCGAAACTTTAAATGCGTATTTCTCGAAATAGCAAAAACTGCACTTATGCACATTGTCCTCCAAGCCCCTCAATTAATCTTTAATTTGATGTCGCTCGCTTAAACTTGTCGAATTTTTTGGTCATTCCCCGGATGACTCTGTGTAAAGAAAAGATAAAAATGCCTTTCAAAAAGAAAGAAATAGACCGAGATTTCTTTACTTCATATTTTGGAGGAAATCAATATGGAAAATGGTAGGCTTGAACGCGGAGGACGGGACAGGTAGAGCGGATATCCGGGAAAAGCGGAAGTGTACTTACCATGCTCAACATCCGAGTGCCAGCTGGTCTGGCTGGAGAGGGAGGCAGGGCTCTGGCCGTAGTAGGCCACTTCCGGTTTCGTTTCCCGCCCAAGCTCCATTTCCTCTTCGGCTGAACTCATGCGTCGCATTCGCTTCACCCGCGGTTCCTCCCCGGGGCTCCCCGTACTCCGGGGTAGCGTCAACGGACCTGAAATAACAATAATTATACTCATTGGCGTGATATCGATGGGTCAGTTGCACCGGTCACAAAATTATTTTTGATGCTTAATTTTTGTAGATAAGCTTAAAATAATAAGGTCCGTCCGAACAGCAACTTACTAAGTTCATTATTAACCATTTGAAAAGTTAGGTTTTTGACGTCATCCACCGCGGCAATGACGCCCTTGATTTCTTCCATCTTGCTTTCATCCGTTGGTGTTAGAGTACCTTTATTGAAAGAGTATGGCCACTGGTGTTAGCACCTCTGATTGGCTCAGCCATCTTAGGCTGAATGGAGCTCTGAAGACCCAAAAATGGCGGACGCCATAAGTTAATGTAATGCAAAATGACTCAAAATGTATAGTTTTCTCTGCTTATCGTAACGAGAAATTTACCCAAGTGCACTACTGCGACTTCTTTACATATTTTTAAGGCTAATCGTGTGCAATTTTCGAGAAAAATTATCTTAGATGTAGTAAGGTTGGCAGCAAGTGCGATTAGTGATAACCGCCAAAAGTTGGGAATGGCCCCCTCCCATCCTCAAAAACCAAAACAAACCACCGCCATTTTTGGGTCCTACGCCTCTCCATGGGACCCAGTGGCGCCCTAGTAGCATGATTCACTTTCCCCTTCCTAACAAACGTATAAGGAATTAATACCGGTTATATAAGCACCATTTTAACTAAAGTTTATATATCGTGTATATAAGTTTTATATAAAATGCCCATGAAAATAATTATTCATATTTTCAGAAGATAACGTTTATATAAAATTTATATAATTGAGGAAGGGTTTTTATAAATTTTCTTTATACGCATAGTATCCTTTTGCTTAATTTGCTTAATATAACTGTTATATAAATGACCTGAATGACTTTAACGTAAACCTATCTCATTTTCATGAATGATGATGATGATCTCATTTCAATGAACACCCTCGACTCTCAGACTGCGTGAGATAGGTATTATTAGAGGTATTAGTGGCTCCGAGACGAGTTAAAAGGGGATATTTCGGCACACAATCCGAGGAGACCTGTTACCTCAGTTGGTAGCGTGTCTGGCTCATAACCCTGCCCAGTTAGACAGCAATATTTTAAAAATATTTCAAAAATATTGAAATTTAATATATTTTTAAAATGTTTTTCATGTATTTTTAAAATATTTTCAAAAGTACTTTTGAAATACAATCAATGAATATTTTTAAAACATTTTAAAAATATATTAAAAATATAAAAAATTAAAATTTTTAAAATAATATTTTATAATATTTTTAAAGTATATCATAATTATTTTTGTTAATATTTTAAAAATATCATTAAATATTATTTTAAAAATTTTAATTTTTTTTAAAATGTTTAAATTAATATTATAAAAATTTAAAAGAAAAAAGGAAATGATAATTATAATAAATAAATAACATAAATACATCGACATAAATTCAAACTAGAAAAAGGCCCAAATAATTAAAACTGGAAAAAGACGCAATTATAAAGTTAAAAAAAAAAATAGAGAGAGAGAGAGTTAAAAAAAATAGAGAGAGTTAGAAAAAATGATAGTTAAAAAACATGATAGTTAAAAAAAAAGAGAGAGCTAAAAAAATGAGAGAGAGTTAAAAAAAATGAAAATGAAAAAATTACATCATGAAATAAAAAACAATAAATAAATAAATAATAAATAATAAAGTCTGGTAAAATATCATAAGAATCCGTCAATAAACAAACATATTACGGACTCAGAGGCCTGCGATAGTTAAGAGATTGAATTTAGGGGCCCATCCATATCAAGCCTGGCTGGTCTGGTGGTAAAGTACTGGACTTCGGATTGCAACTCCATCCCGAGGCGTGGGTTCTAATCCCGACTAGGACGCCGCGGATTTAAGGTAAGTCACAACTCTACGATGATCCACCACGTGGTAGTAACGCATATGAAAACTTGCACACTTCACAACTAGAGTGCGCTACCAGCCAGGAAGAATAATGAAAATTCATTTTATACACTGTTTGAATTTGGTTCTATAACTTTTATACTAAGGGTTACATAAAAAACTTATTGATAATGTAAACTTTTAACTAAAAAACTTTACATCCATTACATGAACAATGAATATTCTTTAGCTTGTGGTTATTTACGGTTTATACTTTTAAAAACAAATTTTTTATATAACTCTGCTACTAGGGATACTTTCTTAATATAGGTACTCTGGTCAATGTGACGCACATTTGCACTGGTTACTCAACGCGAAACTCGGATGGAAGCAGGAAACCAAGGGTGTTATTACCGCGGTGGATGACGTCAAAAACCCGACTTTTCAAATGGTTGATATTGAACGTAGAAAGTTGCTATTTGGACGGATCTTATTATTTTTAGCTAATCTTCGAGAATCAGGAATCAAAATACGAGTCTGTTGGCAGCACAACTGACCCATTATAACGACTCTGTGAAATATTTCCTGTTGGATCCATTAAAATTCCAATTGGTTGCAGTAGCGTGGCTTACTTTGCGATTTATCGATTGATCGGTCATTTAAACCTATCGAAAAGGATCGATATACAGGGTGTTTGCAATGGACATCTTAAAAATTGATTCTTGACCATGGCTTCAAAAGAGTAAATATCAATAATAGACCATTCGCGCCACGCCACTGATAGGCTGGTTACGTTCGTCGTTATTGAAAGGCTCTCTGAATCCGTTGATCTCTTCCAATTACGTGATTCTGCAGAGGGTTAATATCAAAAACGAAATAACGCTTTTTCAACTAAAAGAAACCTGATGTTGAGTTAAATCTATGGGGTAATGACGCTTTAAGTTAAATTAATGTCTCAAGAAAAATTGTTCTCAGTGCGGAGCTAAAAAGGTTCTCAAATTCAAGTTTAAGGATACTTACTGTAGCCCCCGGGTGTCATTAGCGTGGTGTGGTCGGGTGCTGGTGGAGTGTAGCTGTTACAGTAATAACCGGGGTTCTCTATTTTTATTACATTTATTGCCGGCTGCATACCGTTCGGATTATGGACAATTGACGCTGGAACAAAACAAAATAACTCGTAAGGATACTGCTTGATTCACGCACAAATGTCATAAAATAGAAATGAAAAGCAAGCTTGTTTACGATTTGGAATAATAGAATTGTGCGCAGACACATTTGCGGACTGAAAGTGTTATTTTGGAGTCAAACCTTGGATTAAATGCTAAATGTAATCAATGCAAGTGCAATGCGTTTCATTCCAAAGTCAATCAGTTCTGGCGCAATTTAATAGCTGTTTGCATAACGGATTAGTTCGTCGCTCTAGTCCACGAGAACATATTATTTTGAAAGAAGTAGTGTTTATTGATTGGAAGTTCATGGATAACATTCGGAATTACAACATTTCTATGGCCTTCGCGATTTTTCCTGCAACAAAGAAAGAAATACCTAGAAACGGACCCTGCCGTTTCAAAAAACAAGGTTACGTTTCATACAGATATAAACTGTAAAAACGCCAAAAAATATTCTAGGAAAACACTGTTCTACGAAATTTGCCAAATATTTCTTCTCTATTTTTTCAAAGCTGTATTTTTAAAAGTTCTACTATGGAGAACATTTGACTTGATCTCTACCTTTGCAGATTTCAATGACGGGCAAGGTGTCATAGAACGTCTTAGTACGCTGTCAAAGTGACAAATACACACATAAAATGACCGTGCAGCAGATTGAACCGTGTGGTGGCAAAAAAAGTTTTCAAAAATATTTTTCCTTGAAAGTTAAGGATGATTATCTGGATTCTGGTGCGGCAGAGGCCATTCGTAACAACTAGATTAACAGACAGTAAATCACGTCACGCCCACTTTTTTGAGTGAAAGTCTTTGAGATTACTCTAATGACAAGCTACCGTATTTCGATCCTAAAGTCTCACTCTCAACGCTGTATATGAAATGCGTGATTTATCGATTAAATAGCCTAATCACCTATACCTACAATAGGATTATAAAGTTGAGCATGTCTTAATCATATTACAACCAGAAGCGGGTAAGGTGCTGCATACTTTGTAAGTGTAGGAACGCGGTCTAATTGCCGCGTAAAATTTGTAATAACAGTCATCTATTTGAATACAACAGCGCGGTAATTTATAGGTTGGCATACTGTGGTTGTGCAAGGATGATTTAAGTACCGGTTCCCAAGTGTGGATGGTTATTACGCACCTCATTTGCGCAATTAACTACTATCCGACCCAACCCTGCTGTCAGATGACAGGAAAATTCCAACATTTAGCCTTTTGAATGGATATCTAATTGGTATTTTTCTAGACGTTTGACAACGATTCTAAAACAATGTTGTCAAATTGTGATAAAATGTGAAGTTTTACCGTAAAGTTTATGTGAATTGTATACAGGTTTCGAGTAATCTGACAATACTTTGGACTGTCTTGTTGAGGTAGGTCCACTAGTCCTAAAAATACTTTTCAGGTTTTGGATGCGTGCTCAACATAGTCTTAAGTTTGACAAATTGAAAAATTTAAGTTTTAACTTAGGTACTTCTTGTTCTACTCATGAAAGAGCAAACTGACGGCTCAAAAAGTATGTGTCTAAGTATATCGATGGAAAAAATGGGGGGAAAAAACATCTTATATTTACCTCGAAATTTGTCTTTTTTGCTCGAAATTGACTTCATTAATACTGAGGAAGAAATGCTTAGTTCAAGACGATGGTAGCATACAATTAGTAAATTTACTATCGATCCAAGAAGTACTATTTTTAGGCAAAATTTAAGGTTAATCATAATTTAGTGATGCAAAGTTCTCTCGTATTCTATAAAGGAATGATATTGTACACTGTACCGTTGCAAAAATTCAAACATTTAAAAAATCACGAGCTAAGAAAATTACATCACCAAACTACTTCATGTTTACCTACGTAAGTCTGATTTTCAGCAAGCCTAACCCGAGGGCCCGCCTTCAAGGTACAATTAATCTATACGAATTAGAATTGCCAAGGACTTTTGTTCCCGTGCATAAATTCAACTACAGCTTTCCGCATTTTTTTTCTATCTTCTTTCCTTTTGTAAGCTACGATAACGCTCCGTAACCTTTAATTTATTTATTACTTGATATAAAAGATGGATATGAAACAACAAGATTCATGAACTGCAGCTCCTCAACAATAAAATGCAAGACCTCCACCCTGCTCAGCAGGAGGCGAGTGAGCCGAAGGATTGCGTAAGTGATGCCAGATGGTAGATAAAATAGATTCAGCTCTCTTATGTGTTAAGTTTTAACAAACACGAAAAAAAAAGTTTTACAAGCAACAGATTCTAGTGTAAAGAGCGTCTATTTCACAAGGAGAAAAAAACTTCGTGCGTGCGACCCGAAGTTGAGGTCATATGGATCGCTGTAGTTTTCGGATCACGTATCTAAAAACTTGAGGTCGAGCTGCCGAAGTTCGGGTCAGACATCTGAAGTACTTCGATACATACCGAAGGGTTCGGGTCAGACATCTGAAGTACTCCGGTACGTACCGTAGTGCCTCGATGTCTGATCAAAACTTCGGCAGCTCGACCTCAAGTTTTCGGATGTATGATCAGAAAACTTCAGAGATCCATATGACCTCAACTTCGGGTCCCCATGCACGAAGTTTTTTTCTCCGTGTGAAATAAACGCTCTTTACACTAGAATCTGTTGCTTGTTAAAAATGTTTTTTTCGTGTTTGTTAAACTCTTAACACACGAGAGCGTAATCTATTTTATCTACCACTTACACACTACCACTTACCACTAGAATCACTTACGCAATCCCTCGGCTCACTCGCCTCCTGCTGAGCAGAATGATGATCGATTATCAATAATTTTCCATTTGAAGCTATGGTAAAGAATCGATTATTAAGGGTTTCGATAAGAACACCCTGATCATCGATCCTTTTTCAAAGGCTTAAATGGCAAATCAATCAATACATCGTAAAGCGCGCCACAGGCCACGCCAATGGTTAAAATGACATAACTATGAAACCTGATGGGTGCCTACGCGTTAAAACCGCATTCCGATAAATGATGAACGATGAATGAAATCCTTCCTTAGTGGAGGCTGATATGGGGGTGCCGGTGCCGCGCTCACCCCTTTCGAATTCACTCGGAAAAGTTGGCTCCCCTATGCTGGAGTGACCCATAGACCTACAAAACTAAACTGCCACCCTATATTTACAAGCAGGGGTGATCCCTGAAGAGATTTGTTTCCGTGATCGCTTCATACGGACAAAAAGGGAGGGATCGGACTTTGGGGTGAAATTAGGGTAAATTGAGCTTGTTGATCGCATGACACATTAACACAAAACAAGAGAGAGTTTTGCCAAACGTGAGTTTATAGTAAGATTGGAGTAATTCGTTGTTCTTTCTTCATTTTCTGCGTTATATTCTAATGCATCAGGCCTTTAATACATGAAACTCTTTGTATGTTTAAAGACACATGTAAGCTCTGAGTGATGAGGCTGGGTTTTTTGCCGCTTAGATCAGTAGCAGAATTAGACGAACCGGTATCTCATTTTCAGTTTTCCAAGCATTTTTCAATCTTGATGTTTACACCCTTGAAAGAATCTGCAATCTTTCTATATATTTTGGATCCGCATGAACATATATGTAGCTCCTGTATTTGTATCCAAATATATTTCTTAATAATCCGACACAAATCCTAACTTTCAACCTCAGTAGACGGTCATGACAAAGAGATAATACAGCAGGTGGAGACATAAATTTATACCGTGATAACCGTCGAGGGTAAATGAAAAGAAAAGAAGAAGAAAAAGTAAAGCATCCCTAACTCATCCCAATCAAAGTCGCTACCACAGGCTGGTCGAAAAATTCTTGAAGAGAAACCGAAAGGCTAATGAAAATGAACAGAATTCAAACCACACACACGTAGATTAAATTGCCTACGCATCCAATGTAAGGCGTTTTAAGGCGCGTAGTGAAGAATACTGAACGCATAGAATAATACGATTGAAGCTTTCAAGTCCTTACTGTATATTTGGTGGCCTTGCGTTTCATTTTGGATACACAAACTTGATTTTAAAAAATTTTTTTGCTGTTGTTATTATTATTATTATTGTTGATCAATAATAGGCTTCGTATTAAATGTATTAACAAATACACAACGGAGATTAATTTTACGTTGTTTTCTGGTTTTGTTTTTTTTTTTTTCCTTTGCAAGTCGAATGATGACAGTGAAACAATTGATTTTGGATATCGCAATTAAGTTTTCAAATACAACAAATCATTAAAAAAATATGATTCTGAATCAAAACTCATACTATCTCCGTTGATGAGATTAATTTCATTAGGTCTCCCCTGAATATTACTAAAAATAATTTAAGGAAATACATCCAATCTGGAATTAAGCACGCTGCTTTTAATTCAAAGCCTGAAGATTTTGAACGGGACTTGATGAGAGTAGAATTAAATGAACTCAAAATGAGCTATGGGATACATGTACCCCATCACTAGAAAAGGACATAGAAAGGCTGATGGAAATAAGCAAATTCAAGGATGAATTAAGTTGAAGGATAAGTAAGAAAAGTGATTAAAATTACCTTTTGACAGTCGCCATAGCTCTTTGGATGAAAAAACTCCTGTGGCTAATATTGTGTCATTGCAGACGACGCCATTATAAGGATTATGAGAGTACCCTATGAACAGTAAAAATTTTGATTTAGAAATCATATCAAATAATTAAATGTTGCTTTGATCTAATGACGGTGCTAAGTATAACAAAGCATTGACTTACCTTTTGATGCGCATAAAAATTGGCTAGTTTGATTAGATGACTAAAATTAGTACCGATTAATTGCTCAAATATTATTTGCGCACAGTTTTTCTGAATATTCGAATGATGCAATATTTCTCTCGAAAAAGTATTTTTATTCGGGAGAAGGTTACATTTGTGCTTTACATTTTCAATGCTGTGAAGGGAGTTACGATCAAACTTCCGTAAAAAACGCAATGAAAAGATCCATCCGTTTTCCAGAGACATCGTCTTTTATCAGTGGAAATATGGAAACAACTGAGTGTTCATGTTTCTTCTTGGCTTATCAATCCTGAAGACTTCTCTATTTAGGATTTAACCTCATAAGAGAGTTAAATCAAGTCATGAATCATTTTTTACTGGTAAAACTACAGTTTTTGCGTTGGATCAGTTTTTATGCACAATTATTATTGGTCATGCTGCTAACTTTAAATTAGTTTTTAAAGCAGTTGATTTCTTCAAGAATTCATTTTATATCTGAATGAAATACTTGACGGGGTCAAAACTTGAGCACTCTAGCACGTGACATCTCGTCAAATTCAAGTAGGACGCGTAATTCAAGTAGGACGCGTAATTCAAGTAGGACGCGTTAAAATTATATAAAACTTTCAAAATTGATTCATGAATGAGGACTAAATATTCGTACTTCATTTCGTTTGATCCTTGCCGTGCGTCCGATTCCCCAGCCCATTCCTTAAAATCTTTGCAATTGGTGAAAAATAATCTTCATTCCCGTTTGTGACACTGTGGAGGTCTAAAATACGAGAGCCAATCAGAACTGGGTACGTATTGTCTTTACTCTTAGTATAAAAGGGCTCTACGTGGTTCCGCTCTTTGTTCACCAATATTGTGATTCTTAATTTGGTTCCCTGGTTATAGCTGTCTACTAAAGATATTTAAACGTGGAAGTCAGTGCGTTTAGCTTCGAAGTGGTAATATTAAAAAAAGATCGCTCAATTTTCTCTCCCGATGCTCTCAGTATGGCATGGCAGTGGTAGAAATGCAAGGGGCAGAGGGTGCAAAACCGAATAGCTAGGGGGGTTGGGCGTGCGGCACACCTGCGCCAAGGACTCGCGCCTCTCGGCCAGTAACGCTTGGGGGGCGGATCTTCCCCCCTAGAATACTGCCATGCGCCAAACGCGCGTATGGGGTTCCAGCGATTCGGGGGGCTGCGCGCATTCGCCATCCCCACGCAGCCGCGCTCCAGAGCCCTGCCCCGAAAACCATCCCCCGGTGAACCGGCGAGAGTGGAAGTAATTAAAATCAAATCATACAGCAGATTTTCCTGACTATCCCGAGTGGAAAATTATTTTATTGAGGGCTCGATGACGGGGAGGGTTATTCGCTTTGCTTGAGTTTTTCATTCGAGCTTCGTTTCGGCAAATCGAGCGTTGAGATCTTGTTGAGTCCGTGGAGTATTTAAGCAGGAAGAGAAGTACTCGTACAAATTACAAAGAATACGACGGTATACTTTTATAGATAAAAATAGAATAAAAATAGACAGTAATAGACAGTAAAAGGCGGGGACGAGGCTGAAGAAACACACAATAATTACAAATCGCGGGACGTTTAAAAAAACCGGGGACGGTGATATTGTTCTTAGCTTTTGTTTTCTTAGATTTTTTAATTCTTTTTGACGGTTGATAATGACTGGAAGATTACTTTTAGTGAGACTTTTAGTGTATACTTTCAACAAGTTCCGAAAAATAGCTGTAGACTTTCAATGAAAATATCGCAAAGTAACTGATGAATGAGATTTTATTCCCCCTCGCTCTACTTTTTAAGTGTGACAGTTCGCAAGAAGGTAGATATTAAAAAATTATGACGTGAGCATTTTAGTATGGTTCATTAATGTCTTGGTCCGATCTTTGTCAAGTGTAGTCTGCAAAAATTTCGATTTGAAGATTCCGATAGAAGACTCTCCCTAGAGTTCTGCAGTGTAAGTGCCGAGGAGGATAATTCAATTTGTGTGTGGGAAAATGACGTTAAGTTGCATTACTTATATTCTTGCGATTTCGTTCGCTGAACATGAACGATTTGAATTATTTTCAGTTTTTAATAGAAACTACGTTTTTTGAAGTAAAAAGTTCAAACCACCATGACATTGACTTTAGTTCGCCATTTTCGTATCAAACGTCACTTTTGGCTACAAAACATCAAAGCTACGTGTTACACCTCAGAGGTCCCTGAATTTCAATTTTTCTCATTGTCCAGAGATTGACATACTTGATGGTTCCGCTCTAGAACCCAGAGTTTGAAGCCTGTCACGATGAGCTTCAAAATAGTATCCTATATCACCGTACCGGCGGCATCCAAAAATTCTCTTGATCAAATCACTTTCAGAATTAAAAATATTAGAGTTATATTGCTTATCGAAAAATTAAGCTTGAATCTTTAAACAAAGTTTTCAATTCTCTCTTCAAGTACTAATCTCAATTAATTTTTATACTGTTTCGTATACCGACTTAAGAATGAGAATGAAAACAATGCTTTCATCTTTTGAAAAAAAAGAAGAAAAAGAGAGCTCTTAAGATTCAGTTTCTCAAAATTTTGCCGAGGTGCGGGCGACTAAACGCCTTGAAGGAACGATGCTCTAAATTAAAAAGAAGGCTTAAGAGAAGATGTGAAAGCGTGAAAAGACGCGAATTTCATTCCAAATCTTGGCTCTTTTTCAAGCGCAATTAAGACGATCGAAAACCTTTGTTAAGGGGTGGTTATCCCTCATTAGTCAGTTTAATTTATCTGAGCCCTTATCCACTAAATTAAGACCTATTGTCCCTGCGTCTACTTCGAATCGTCTACTCTTGACTTAACTGGCGAAAGAAAGAAGAGAGGGAGAGAGCGGACTTGCGAAATATTACCCTCCTCCCCCAAACGCGCAGAACGATAAATACACTCACGGGGTAGGACGGGCCCTAATGCGTCACAGAGGTATTATGCTGAAAGAGGGATGTACAATTTACCGTCACATAATTTGCAAATTTAATTGCATCAAAACAGTACCTACCTACTTCTCGTAGATTTTAAATATAAATGGTAGTAAAGACTTGACATTGGGTCGGAATGTCTAAAGCTAATTTCCGTGCTTCATCACATATTTTCATACTGATTTATCGGATTAAACAAAAATGATCTCAACTGTAATGTTCTGTTATAATTAATTTTTTGAATAGAAAAATACGCAAAATTCTGCATTCGAATTTTGGGAGGTTCTATAAAAGCTTAGGGCGCTTTGTCAACTGTTTCAAGGCGTTATTTTCCCTGGTAAAAATTGGCGATACGAGCTGCGTTTCAAAATACCATAGGAGTTCTTATAGCCAACTAAAGAAGGCTATTGAAAATCATATAGCTGGCTGTAGAAAGCGGAGCAAATCACATAACCGGGCTATACGAAGCTATAAAAAAGTATACAGTCGGGCTATAGTTCCTATCGACGGACTTTACCCTTCATCGCCATTGGCTATAAAAGGCTGGAAGAAATTGTGTAGAAATTCGTGTGCTTTGGAAATCATTAAGTTTGATACGGAACTACCTTAATGTTTACAAAACACATTATATTTTCCTTTAAAACATATTGTTTTTTCATCAATTAAAATGAGATGGTCCACCTAACAGGGATACTTCACGCATTGCGCGGCGACGCACTGGCGCCTACAAACCTAACAGGGATACTTTACGCATTGCGCAATGCGTGAAGTATCCCTGTTAGGTTTGTAGGCGCCAATGCGCGTTTCGCGCTCTCTGCCCGCCCGCCGCGCCGCAGCGTGCCACGGTGTCTGACTGTCTGAAGCAACTATTTCACACCAGAGGTATTGCACAGCTTTCCTCGCAAAATAAATCAAGGTACTACGGCACAAAAAGAGAGCGGTAGTCCAAAAACTAACCAAGTCCTAGTATCCGTATTTAGTAACGTTTAGCATAAACTTTATAGTCTAGCTGTTGTTTAATCGCCATCGGCTATAAAAGGCTATAAGAAATTGTACAGCCGGCTACAGAAGCTATTGGAAATCTTACAGCCGGCTTTAGGTCTATAGTATTTTGGAACACACATTCTACTGCCAATTTGACCAGGGTTATGTTTGATGTTGAAAAAATTAAAACACCAAAGGAAATTGGATAGCGTGATATGAAGTTGGGTTGATTCTAGTTCACCAAAAAGTGTGCTGTTTCAACGATAATCCTGGCTGGTTTTAACGCCACCTACAAATGTGGTTTGCACCACCCAAAGGTGTGGTTGTGTCAGCCAAAAATTACTTCATTCAACCGAGTCTCTGATCAACGCGATCATATACCGCTGTCTGTGTTTTTGGCTGGCGCCCCATATCAGCAAAGAGTATGGTACATTGATCTTATTTTTGCCGTAAAATGCTGTCTGTTTTATAAGAGAAAACATGCAAATAATGGAAAATTAGAAAATCAACGTCCAATTAAAGTGTAAACTTAACACCGAAATCAAAAAGAAAACCAGTTACGTTTTTCAAGAAACGCAAGTAGAAGTGCTATCTTTGCCCAATTTACAATAATTTTTTTTTTTTTTTAGCTTCTAGAGTGATAGCGTAGCCATGGCTTACTGAGGATTTTACAGGTTTTTCTAGGTACATTGCAAATGTACAATGCAAGAATGTTTTGGGGGCTTACTTTTCATTTTGGTTCCCATTCATTCTTCATATTTTGTCGATCAGTTTTAGGAAACATATTTGTCCATTTATAAAGGAAAGAGAGGGTGTTTACTCAATTCATCGAACAGCTGATAACTGTCGAGCAGATTCCTCGCAACTTCTTAAATAAGAGATAGGGGTTGAAGTGTGCGGAGCAGCATGAGACTTTTTAATATCGCGGACATAACGTTTTACTACAGAGCTTTCTAGGCAGAGGCATTGAGAG